CGACGACCGCTCGAGCGCGCGCGTCATCGCCCAGGGCCTGGCGGAGAAGGACGCTCGTCTCGCTGCCCTCGCTCCGAAGATCCGCAAGGGCGATGTGGTCGCCTTGGGCATCTCTCAGAGCGAACGTGACGCCCAGGGCGTCGACTTCTACCTCGCCAAGGTCGTCGTGCCACCGGCGCGCTCGGACAACCAACGTCGGGTCAACGGCTCGGGGCGCGACGGCTGGAACATCAAGAAGGGCGAGTTCTACTTGACCGTGCGCTGGTTCGACCTGAAGCCGTGCGGCTACTACGAGGACTACGGGTCCCAGGACGAGCAGCTCCTCGAGATGGTCATCGCGGTCGGCGACGGCGCCGCGCTCGTGCTCGAGCCCGCCCCTCGGAAGGGCAGGGCGCGTGGGGCCCCGGCCCAGTTCCAGCTCGCCAAGGCGTCCGAAGCGGCCATCCACAACGAGAACTTGGACAGGTACGTCGACCGGGCCGCGGCGGGCTCATCTGCCTGAGAATCGGCGCCGAAACGCGCGCGCCGCGCGACGCCGCGGTCGACGCGCGGACGCCTCGCCGACCGCAGCACGTTCCACGTGGTTTATCGCACGGACCCGCCTTTGCCCACGCCTTTTATGGTCCTAATGACGCCTCTTTCCCCCGTGGCGCGGGCCGCTACTCGGCGGTCCGTGCGCGCTGGGGCCTATGTGTCCGGCCGTGTCCCCACTGATCTGATTTTGGATGCGCCTCCGCCCTAGTCGTATCTTCCCGTGGCTCTTCCTACGCCTGTCCTCGCCGTTCCCCTCCCCTTCGATTCCTCCTTGTGCCGCGGCCAACTGGCAATAGTTTGCGATCGGAAGAGATCGGACAAGTGGCTGATTGAGACCCCTCGCGCGAAGCGAAGCCGCGCCGCCGCTACACGTCCCCGGCAACGAAGCGCCGTGGGGTCATTACCCTTCATCCATGGCGTCGTCGTCGTCGGATTCGTACGCGAGGCGCCGGCGCACGGACCGGTCCGCGTCGTCTGCGGGCGGCGGCCGTCGCTCGGGGGCCTTGTCCGGCGTGACGGCCGCGCGGGCCTGGCGCGCGCGCGCGGCGCTGGGGCAGAGGCCCGGCGTATTGTAGGCGTCGCTGTCGAAGGCGCCGTCGCGCCTGGGCAGGAGAAGGGTGCGAAATTCCCAACTTCGAAGGCTCCTATCTCGGTCGTTTTCCGCTCGTTTCGGCTGATTTTTGGACGAGCGATCATCTCTCGGAGCGCTCTCGAAGCGTGGGTGCTGTTTCCGAAACGCGCGCGCGCGGAACACTCACGTTGAAGCGACGTTGAATCACCCTTTTCCTGCCCTGCGTCGCGCTCGTCGACGCGGACCTCGACGATCGCCGCGCCGCCCGGCGCCGTCCGCCGGCGCGTCGCGTAGACGCGGTGCCGCGCCGACCCGGCGCAGGGGTCCCCGAGCCAGGCGCCCGTCCTGCAGTCGATGCGGCGGCCGTGCGCGGGGCACGTGAGCGCGCCGTCCTCGATGTCGCCGCCGCGCGTCGCGTCGTCGGTCCACAGATCCGCGCCGTGGTGGAAGCAGCGCGCGTCGAAGGCGTAGTACTCGCTGCCGTCCCAGCCGACGGCGATGATGCTGCCGGACTTCCTGCTCGTCGTCGCGAGGAACGTGTTGGGCTTCGTCGGCAGGCGCTCGGGCGGCCAGGCGACCCACTTCTCGCGCTGCGGCCGCGGCGGCGTGATCACCGACGCCATGCGGCTCATGGCGCTCGGCGCGGCGCGTTTTCGAAGCGATGGAGGCGGCGCGGATGCGTCCGGAAGGCACGGAGTACCGGCTCAGACGCG